CTCCAGGCTCTGAGCCATCAGCCCAGAGCCCGATGCGGGGCTCGAACTCACGGACCGCGAGATCGTGACCTGGCTGAAGTCGGACGCTTAACCGACTGCGCCACCCAGGCGCCCCATACAGTGATCAGATTTTTAAGAGTTGAGAGTATCCTTTAAATTCTGCTTCATTCAGGGGCGCCTGGGTGGCTCAGTCGGTTAAGTGCCCGACTTTGGCTCAGGTCATGATCTCATGGTTCATGAGTTCAAGCCCCACATCAGGCTCTGCGCTGACAGTTCAGAGCCTGGTGCCTGCTTCAGATCCTGTGTCTCCCTCTCTCTCTGCCCCTTCCCTGTTTGTGCTTGTCTCTCTCTTTCTCTCTCGAAAATAAATAAACATTAAATTGTGCTTCATTCAGTCATGGGTAGAAATAAGAGCTGTGTAAGCCTACCCAGTTAATAAGTTGTACATGTGAGGTTATTCTGGAAAGTTGTTTAACTTTATCCTGTTGTTTTTTGTTAAGATTACTTAACACTAAGTTATTGTTGTAAGTGTGATTCAGATCTTAGAAAAAAATTGCTTACATTTTCTGTGACATTTTTTGTAGCTCTGGTATTTTGGGGAAAATTTATTTATGCTACATGGAAAATTTCTTACTGTGATTCCATACAAGTGTGAAGTATCTTCATTAGCAGGTGCTCTTGGAAAACTCAAGCATAGTCAAGATCCAGGTAGGAGGCCACCCCTTTTTTTAAAGTAACCTCTGTGCCTAATGTGGGGCTCGAACTCATGACCCCAAGATCAAGAGTCGCATGCTGTACCAACTGAGCCAGCCAGGCACCCCAGGAACTTCTCTTTTTTTCTTATTAATGTAAACCATTTTATTAACTTCCAGTGTGATGTAGATTTCTACAGCCATCAGTTTACAGAGCCTGTTTTTGATGTTGCAATTTGCCACTGTTCATTGAAATTTCCTTGACCCAGGTATCTACCTTGGGAGCAGTCTATACTGCAGGTACTGGTGTAGGCTGAAGAGCTACACTGTTTTGAACACCAGTGTTCTGACATTAGGGGCATTGGAAGAGTCCCCCAGGCAAAATCACTAATTACTTTATCCTCTCGTGTTTCCCAGTGATCTCATCTGTTGGCTTAATGTTGCTGGGCACATACCCTTTTACGGTATTGTGACTTACTGATGTGGGGTTATCAGTAGGATTCAGTGGTCTTTAAAGCATCTCTTGAATTGTGCATGAATGGTTGTCGTTTGGCTAAACACCAATAGGTCAAAAATTTTCAGAAATTGTATGCTTTGTGTTTTCTTAGGCACTCACACTGTGCCTCATTTTGTAAACTGGGAAGCATCTCGAGGATATGGATTTGGATCCCAGAACTCCGAGCAGTCGAAGAGAATTGTAAGTTTGGTAGTTGAAATAGAAATGTTAGTGCAGGGTGGGTAGAGATTACTTAAAAATAAGATCTTAAAAAAAGAAAAAAAAAGTTCTCCAAAAATGTTAGTGCAAATATTTTTAAAAAAGAGAGGAAAAAAAAAAGTTGGGATTATTTTAATAATTCACATCTGTACAACTCTTCCGGCTTTGATCTTCATGACGGCAATTTGAATCGTGAACCCAGTACCCAGTAACCTGACAGCCTTTATCCAAAATGTCAGGTGTAGTTGAGTAGTTAATTTTTATGGGCATATGTGTATGTCTAAGACACAGGTGTGAAAATGGACAGTTTGCAATTAGTAATAATACCTTGTTGAGTATAGCGAGTTTTGTGTGTGTGTTTAAAAAACAAAAACCTTAAAGGTATTTAAATTACTCTAAATAAACCCATTCTTCACTATAACGAAGCTATAATATTTTGAAAAGCTTGTGATGAGAGCATTAGGGGTGCAATTCTAGTGTCTTTAGGACATTTTATATTCTTCTAAATATATGTTGGATCTTTTGCACTGTTTTGAGATCCTAATCAATTTACTTAATTCCAGTTAAGGAGAAGGAAAATTGAAGTGAATGTGCCGCCTCCAGCATTCGAACAACTTTTATCAACAATAAAGGTAAATAAAATACTAGAAATATGAAAAATCGAGGCACCTGGGTGACTCAGTCGGTTAAGCGTCCGACTTTGGCTCAGGTCATGATCTCACCGTTTGTGAGTTCGAGCCCCGCCTCGGGTTCTGTGCTGACGGCTCAGAGCCTGGAGCCTGTTTCAGATTCTGTGTTTCCCTGTCTTTCTGTCCCTCCCCTGCTTGCGCTCCGTCTCTTTGTCTCTCTCTCTCTCTGTCTCTCTCTCAAAAATAAACATTAAAATAATTTAAAAAAAAAGAAATATGAAAAATCAACCGAAGTGGTAAAAGAAATCCCATCTGCTTTCCATTCTAATTTTTCTGATCATGGTTTAATATCTGCAGCTAACATATGTATAGTGTCTTCAGGTTGTCAGAGCTACCTAATACTTTGGCTTATTTGACTCTTACTGACCATTTTGTGAGAGGGAGGTGGCCTCATCAGGATCTCTTTCACCTTTGCATTGAATACACTTGTCACTTTGCCTCTTAAAGAATTTGATCTCTAAACCCTGGAATTAATTTCTGTTTTGGTTTGGTCTTTGTGTAGCATATCATATCAACTCCCAGTTTCACAGGAATGCATGAATGTTGTTAAGTGATTTGAGAAAATGTTGAGCTAGGAACTTTTGACTTCAGAGTGACGTTTGTTTCCTGTACTAGACTGAAGTCTGTTACTTCCACCCTTTCAGAAAGATTCAGAAAAAGACATTGAAGTAGAACTATGTAAATTTTTGGCTGTGAAGCGGACACCTGACTTTCATACTATTGTTGGGGACATAGTATTAGAACTTCTGGGACGACATACAACAGAGCCATCATTTTACCCCCGGAACTCTCTGATGCAACTTATCCAGACACACGTGCTTTCTTACAGGTAAGTGTTTCTGTGTACCACGCTTTGTGTCTGTAACTCTTTTGACCTTGTTTTTTACAGTTCTAGTATTCATACTCTGAAAAAGCTTATACGTTATTTGCAGTTGAGATCTTTCTTGCTATACAAAAGTGGTTCATGGTGTTTTGTCTCAGCTTGTGCCCCGGCCTGATGGAGGCGGCCTTGGAAAAGACAGATGTGCAGATGTTACAGCTGTGTCTACAGCAGTTCCCCGACATTCCTGAATCGATCACCTGCGCTTGCTTAAAAATTTTCTTGAGGTAAGTTAGAAGCTGATGGTCCTTTTTCTCCACTGCATCTTTACTCTCTTACAGTCCTTGATTTCTAAAACTTCAGATGCTTACAGAATGAACATTTTTCTAGTTCATGCAGCGATGAATTAATTTCTCACTTTCAATTAACATGATAGCATTAGTGATGACAGTCTTCAAGAAACAGAAATCAATATGGAATCAGTTTCTGACTGTAGTGATCCTGTGCAAGAGAAAATGGATGAGCAAACGGAAATTCTTCAAAACGGTTTCAATGCTGACGAACAAAACTGTGATAGCTGTGATCGGAAGTTAAACCAAAAGCCTCAGGACGCAGCCGAGGAGACCACCTCGTGCCCTGTGGTACCGAAGAGAGCGGCACTGCTGTATCCTTTGAAACCCTCTCCCCCGTATTGTCTCTTTCCACAGATACAGGCGAGTGCCAGGCAGTAACCCGGGAATAAGTAGATCATTTCAGGTGCTTTTTGTTTTCTTCAGTTTTTTTTCAGTTTCTGCCTGAATGTGGAATACATTCAGTGCTAGATTCAAATAACTTACTTAAACCTGTTTTAAGAAGGCGTATGAAAGCAGAAGTTCTATCAATTCTAAAAATTAGTCTTCTGAATAAATACCAGTTAGATGAGTGAAGTATTCCAGGTGACCTGTCGTGATGAGGAGAAAGTTCAGTGATCGAGCTCTTTCAGAAAAGTGAAACTTTCATATAAATTTAGAAAAGATCTCATTGAGGCAGGGAGTTACTCATAATTCCGGTAGAAAAGCCTTCATTTGTTGAAACAAGGTTTTCCTTTAGTCCTGAGTAGAAATGCAATTCTTCATTCAGCTTATAGCGAAATGTTTCTTCTGCCGCACTTGAAAGACATCCCAGCACAACATGTCACTGTAAGTGTTTGTAGACATCCTATGGAATTTTGTATTCTATACATTTCACTGCTCAACTGACCGACTTTAGGGCATTTGAAAGGTGATCAGTGAAGTCTCCTTCATGTGAATAAGAGGTTTCCCAGCCCCCACGGTGAAAAACTGTGCCAAGGAGACGAGTGATTTTTGGTGGGCAGATCTTGGCATGCTTGGTGCCAAGCCTGAAGGCCAAGTTGATCCATCTGCATTAAAAACAGGTGCCTGGCCGGCTCGCTCTCAGTGGAGCATATGACACTTGATCTTAGGGTTGTGAGTTTGAGCCCGTGTTGGGCGTAGAGCTTACTTTTAAACAAACAAATATTAAAAAAAAAAAAAAAAGTAGAAACTAAAAAGAATTGTCCAGAGGTGGATTCTCTCTTTTCTGCTTATTGTTTACTAACAGGATAAGCTTCCCAGCTACCTCTCCCCAACCAGATGAACTCCCCATTGATAGCAAAGACTGTGTTTTATTCTTCTTATGTCCCCAGATGTCTAGCATATTTGTCTGCTGTATAATTAAATTCAGTAGCTTCTTAAAATTCTTCAGTCTCTTTGTTAGCTTTATAGAGAGAGAAAATTTTTCTATCAAAGTGATAAATTATCCTTTTTCTTCCTACCCAGCTATTTCTCCAGTATTTGTATTTCCTTTATCTGAAGTGTAGTGAAAATGCTACTATGACTCTTCCTGGACTGCACCCTCCAACCTTGAACCAAGTAAGATCATCTTTTTAAAAAAATTTTTTTAACTTTTTAGTTTTATTTTAATTCCAGTAGAGCTGACATACAGTATTATATCAATTGCACGTGCACAGTATAGCGATTGAACAGTTCTAGGCATTACTGAGTGCTCATCATAATTAGTGAACTCTCGTTATTTCCCCTTCACCTATTTCCCCCATTCTCCCCTTCACCTATTTCCCCCATTCTCCCCACCCATCTCCACTCTAGTAACCAACAGTCTGTACTCTACAGTAAGAGTCTGTTTTTTTGGTTTGTCTCTTTTTTTCTTTGTTCACTTGTGTTGTAAATTCCGTATATGAGTGAAATCATGTGGTATTTGTCTTTCTCTGACTGATTGCACTTGGCATAATACACTCCAGCTCCATTCGTGTTATTGCAAATAGCAACTTTCCGGGTATTTTTTTTTTTAATGTTTATTTATTTATGAGTGGGGCAGCAGCAGCAAGTGGGGTAGAGGTAGAGGGAGAGAGAGAGAGAGAGAGAGAGAGAGAGAGAGAGAGAGAGAGAGAATATCCCAAGGCGGCTCTGCACTGTCAGCACAGAGCCGGATGCAGGGCTTGATCTCACAAGCCATGACATCATGACCTGAGCTGAGATCAAGAGTCAGATAGTCAACTGACCGAGCCACCCAGGTGCCCCTTGATTTCATTCGTTTTTAATGCTGAGTGATATTCCATTACACACACACACACACACACACACACACACACACACACACACACCTTCCCCACATCTTCTTTATCCATTTATATATCGATGGACACTTACACTGCTTTTATAATTTGGCTATTGTAAATAATGCCACGGTAAACATAGGGGTGAGATCATCTTTTTAACTTTTTAACTCGATCTGGTGCTAGGAAAAGTCTATAAGAACAAAATAATGTTACATATAATAGTGTCAGAACTTGGAATTCGGTAACTGATTTCTCTTTGTCTCCTAGTCCATATGAATTTCCTCTCTCACCCTGTATACAAACCACTGGAGTGAGAGGTGGGGAGGATCTCTCAATTTGGGGTCAAAATTCTGTGCTAAAGAACTTAAATACATCTTAAATTCTTGCTATTGTGACCCTTTTCAAGAATTTCCTTATCTCTTTGGGAGATGGTGTAAGTGTCCAAATCTCTTTAAGAATAAGAGAATTAAGATTAATGGAAAAAAATGTTTTCAGAGAATCTCTTTAAATACAGTATTTATTTGAGAAGCAGTTTAAAACATTAAAAAGTTTATTGTTGCTAGTAACGCATGGCTGGCTCAGTCTGTAGAGTATGCAACTCTCAATCTTAGGGTTGTGAGTTTGAGCCCCATGTTGGGTATAGAAATTCCTTAAAAAAAAAAAGTATTGTGGTTTAAGAATATGTTATCCTAATTAAGCAGTTCAAACACTAAATTTGACTACTTTCATTTAAAAAAAATTTTTTTTTAATGTTTATTTATGTCTGAGACAGAGCCTGAGTGGCAGAGGGGCAGAGAGAGAGGGAGACACAAAATCTGAAGCAGGCTCCAGGCTCTGAGCTGTCAGCGTAGAGCCTGACTCGGGACTTGAACTCACAAACCGTGAGATCATGACCTGAGCCGAAGTCAGTCGCTCAACCGACTGAGCCACCCAGGCACCCCTACTTTCGTTTTTTTTTTTTTTTTTTTTTTTTTTTTGTTAAGTAAATTTTATTTTTTTTTAATTTTTTAAAATGTTTTTATTTATCTTTGAGAGAGAGAAAAACTGAACTGAACGCAAGTGGGGAAGGGGCAGAGAGAGAGGGAGACCCAGAATCCGAAGCAGGCTCCAGGCTCCGAGCTGTCAGCACAGAACCCCACATAGGGCTCAAACCCACGAACCATGAGATCGTGACCTGAGCCAAAGTGGGATGTTTAACCACCTGAGCCACCCAAGTGCCCCTAAGAAGTTAATTTTTGGAGCTAAAAACTCCAACATTATCAGCGGTTGCTTCTCCACTCCCCTTGTCCGTCTTAGGGATAACCAATATTAAGAGTTTCTTTTGGGGCACCTGTATGGCTCAGGTGGTGGAGCGTGCATTTCTCATTCTCAGGGTTGTGAGTTCGAGCTCCGTGTTGGGTGAAGAGATTAAGTTAACTTAAAAAAGTCTCTTTTATGCCTGGGAATTTTCTTTCTATACCCTAACTTATCTTCCTCTTGTTTTTCTAACAGAAATTAGGTCATAGTATGCATGCTATTTGCAATTTGCTTTTTTATTCAGCCCTGAGTTTTAGACATTTTCTGGACCAAACATCTGCCTCATTTCTCTTCTTTTTTTTTTTTTT